CATTTAAGCTTTTTTTGAATATGGAAATAGTTGTCTTGTGCCTCGACTTTGTTATCAATAAAATGCACATTACAAGTAGCACTTTTTTCTAGGATAGGCACGCTTCACTTTTTAATATCTCAACATACATCCCAATACACTTAAATCAATCATACTCTAAAATCTCGTGTAATGAATTACAAATTTATAATTTGTAAATAAAAGTTGAGATAACATCGTCCGTAGAATGATATTTCATTTTTTTTCGGAAATGATCTCAGCTGTCTTTTATTTTTGAAACTCAAAAATAATTTTATTTTTGAAACTCAAAAATAATTTTATTTTATTATTCACGCATTACGAGAACAAATGCGGAGAGAGAAAGAAGCAAGATGTTTGAAGTGTGAAATCGAAGGTAATTTAAGGAAGACTACGATGATTGCTGGTTTTTCCATTTGAAATAATACTCAGTTCGAGTATGGTATGAAAGCAACTGGGTACAAAGACTGCACATATTGTCTTTGGATACAAATGTGGGAGTTACTAGTCTCTTCCTCACAGGGCCGGCCCAATAATATGAAAAAAAAGTATGGACTTCATGCCATAAGTTTTTAAGATGCCTCATAATTTTAAGTACATTACTAATTCACAACAAAAATTAAATTTATTAAATTTTAAGCCTTACAAAAAGTTTTAAAAAATTAAATCTAATAAAATATTTTATTACAATAATTTGGGTCCATGATCAAATCCATAACATTAAAAACTTAGAAATTAAAAAATAAAAAAATACTCAAAAATTAACTCATATTTACACCCGCCAACTCTCTCTCTCTCTCTCCGGAATGCTTTCTCTTCATATAGCCATCTCCCAGGGTGACCTTTCTTCCACTTTTTGGTGGAGTGGAAAATTTTTCTTTCACTTTTTGGCCCTGTTTATACCAAGTGTATATTGCACCATGTCTCACTTTTTCATTGGTTGAAAAACTCCTAAAATTAATCACAACTCGTGACTTGCCTATTTGGATAAAATTAGTTGAACAGTCTTTTAATTATATTATGGATCCCGTGACTAAGTCTCAATTGTTGAAATTTTAATTGCGTATTTTTTATTTGTCTTGTAATGCGTGAAAACATCAATTGTCTCATAATTCAACCAAAATTAACTGACCTACTTAATTTTGTGAATCGAATCAAACGGCAATATCTATTTCATCATCCAAGTTATGTAAAATACAAATTTTTAATTTGTACTTAATTATCGTATTACCTTTTTTATGAAATCTTTTAATTTTTTGGGTTTTACATATTCGGGCGGGCTTTGGGTAAAAGTGGGCTACCCCCAACCCAGCGTGTCACTCATTAGACGGGTTTGTTGGGCGGACCTCTTTTTATATAGGGTTAATTTCAAATTCCACCATGAAAAATCATTTGAATCTTAATTTACACCCTTAAATATAGTAATTTGTATCAATACATATCTCCAACTAATAGCCGTCAGTTCACCGTGTAAAACTAAGTGAATAAATTACACATAAATTCCTTAATACTTGTCACTTAATCACCTAAATTCCTCATATTTTAAAACTAGTCATAACTCATACCTAAAGACACGATAAAAAAAAAATTGAGCTTTTAAAAAATCGATTCCACTATATTAATTTTTTTCAAAATATATTAATTACAAATTAATCAAATATTAAATGATTAAATAAATGATATAATGTTTTTAGGAATAAAATATATAAATGATTAAACATGTGATAGAAATGAGTGATGTGATTTGACATTTGAGTCTGACAATGAGATGATGGGTGAGGTAAGTGATTGATGATAATTTTAAAGAGAAAAATATAACTGGGATAAAATTCAAACACATTCCTGTTTTATTATATAGATATTATACTTATATTCCTTGAGAAACCAAATATGACTAAAAATATTTCCCCAATTAGGCGTTCAAATGAATTTGTTTAAATGATGTATTACATGAGACATAAAGAACATTGTATAAATATCTGCATTATATTACGTATTCAAATAGTAAACTTAATTTTGAACTTTAGAGTATAACGAGCTCACAAAATAAATGATAGTATGAAATTACAATTTTTTATTAATATGAAATCACATTTTTTAACGGTTATATTAACAGATATCAACGATAAATGATTATGTGTTTCACATGTACAAATGTGAAGAAGTGTAAGAGTAATATTCTAAATGTGAGAGGTCAAAATAATTAAGTGATAAGTATAAGGGGATTTAAGTGTAATTTATCTATTTACATTTAAATCGCAAACGACTTATAGTTTCAGGTGTGCATTAATATAAATTTATATATTTGAAGGTACAAATTGAGATTTTTGAGTGTACAAATTGAGATTCGAACAATATATTGGGGTGCAATTTGAGATTAACCATTTTATATATATACAATTTTATTTTAAAAAAATTATAATTTAATATTTTGATAAATTATATTTTTGAATTATAAGTAGGGCGACAAAAAATAAATAATAAATAATTTTATTTTTAAATAGTCAAAATAGGCTTCTCAATTATTGAAATTTTCGCATTATCTTTTTAACTATTAAAATTTTTACATTGTCCCTTAACTAATTTGATTATTGCACATTGTCCAATCACAAATAAATGTTATTTTTTTGATGAAAGGTGCTGACGTGTTAAGGTAAAGTGAAAAAAATTATATAATTTGAGGGATAAAATGAAATAAATTTTCATTACATATGTAATGAACTTTAACAATTAGAGCAATCCAAAACTAATCACATAATTGAGAGTATTACCAATGGGTATTTGATTCAATGGTATTCCTTGTCTTGTGAAAACTTTGTCTTCTTGAGGTCAAGAGTTCAGGTCTCACTTCCCTCTCAAAAAAAAAAAAAAAAAACATAACTGAGGGTATAATATGAAAAGTATGGAAGCATCAAGGGTTTAAAGTGTAATTTTCCCTTACAGGCAAGGCTGTTCAATTGGTTTCCAAATCCGAGTTAGCCGTTGGCTCCCTCCCAAACCTCTCTTTTCCTCTTTTGGTTTCCTAAGTCGGTTGTTCACAAACTATAAATGTAAGCCAAAGCCTCTCTTCTCCATTACTCTCAACGGCTCTCTCTCTGTATCTTAAAGATTCGAAAGAAACGACGATGGTCTCTTCGTAAGTACTAAATTCCACCACCAGATCAATTCCTCACTTCCGTTTGTTTGATTTCTCTCTCCTCTCTTCGAAAATATTCAGCACTGTAAATCAATGGATTCGTTGATCGAACTCTGCGATCTGATTGCACAAAATCATTCACAGTTTGCTGATAAATTGGCTTGGATTTGTGGACATTAATTTGATACGGGTGAGATTGTGATGTTGGCGATTAACAGTGTCAGTGGAGATTTGGGGGCTTTCAAGGGTTTTCTTGAATGCTCTGTCGCAGAATTTTCCTCCAATTCTTCCTTCCGATGCAAACAAATTAATGTCCACTCTTCTAAATCGATTTGAGATTTCAGTTCCTATTTCAACCTTTCTCTGTGGATTAACAATGTCAGTGGAGATTTAGGGCTTTCAAGGGTTTTCTTGAATGCTTTGTCGCAGAAGCTGTGCTGCTGCTGCTCAAGGAGAGAAGTCTGTGGGTTTGTAAAGAACTTTCAGATGTACTTGGTAATAATAAATTGGATAGCTGTACGTTTTTTCACAGCATCAATGCAATCGTCCAATTTGTAGCTGCTTTATAATATGTGATTTTGTTTTTCTGATTGTAGTTAATTGTGTTTATGGCTTCGCAGTCGCACTGTTACCATATATCCATCTCCCAGGGTTGATGTGGACCAATGAGATTTGGAAGGCTCTGAAGGGGTAGACAATCTTTTTCAACATTAAAGTTTTTCTTTCCTGTTATTTTCTTTATTATTACGAGACATGGATTGTTTTCAATGCTTTCCTATGCCAGTTATCCTCAAGGCTGTATTTACTATTATGCCTACACTTTTTATCAAATGCATGGTGTTTAACCTTCTGTTGGATGAATGCTTAAGCCCCATTCATGTGGTTCTGATTCATTTGTTTGGTGGTTTGCTTCCTCTAATATTGGTAATTTTGGTAAGTGCATGTTGGAGTGGGATCCGAAGGTCATCCCATGAGGGATGAGGCACAAAAGCTGATTTTTGATGGACTACAAAGTAGATTACTATCTATATTCTAGGACATTCTATCCTCTAGCTATCCAAACACATGGTAGGTTCTATGTTATGATACAAAAGTTCAGTGGTTGGTCTTGTCTGCTTCATGCTTTCACTCGTAGGAGTATGTAGGTTTGTTATGTATGTGGGTGTGGGGAATGTTCTTTTTGCTATTATTGTGATTGTTGTTTTTTTTTTTAATATATATACATGGATTTGTTTTTATTGCTTTCATATGCCAATTATCTAAGTGAAAAGTTGTCTCAAGGTTGTTTTCACTGTTATGCCATCACTTTTACCAATTGCATGGTGTTTCCTCTTCAATTGGGTTGCTGTGAAGGCTTTAGTCCCCATTCATGTGGTTCTAAGTCATTTATTAGGTTGTTTGCTTCCTGCTAATATTGGTAATTTTGGTAAGTACATGATGGTCTGGGATCCAAAGGTCATGCCATGAGGGATGAGGCATAGAAGCTGATTTATGACGGACTACAAAGTAGATTATTATCTATATTCCAGGACCTTCTATCCTCATAGCTATCCGAACGCATGGTAAGTGGTAGGTTGTGATACAAAGTTCAGTGGTTGGGCTTGTCTGCTTCATGCTTTCACTTGTAGGAGTAGTGCAGGTTTGTTATGTGGATGTGGGGAATGTCCTGACATTTGAAATTGTTGTCCACTCCATGATTCTCTTTTGGCTCACTTTGGAAAGCATTAAGAAGGATAGTTTGTCAAAGAAGTTTGTTGACCAATATGGATTATGACGAGGCTAGAAATCTGCATTTGGTTAGTTCATGGAATGGTGAATGAGCTCTTCATTTAGCTTGAGTGAGTCTATGACGCTTGTACTAGACATGGTTGAGCAGTCTATGACTCTCGACAATTGTTGGAGATCCAGTCAAATGATCTCTACTGTGAGTGCAAGACGTCACTGTGATTTTGACCTTTTTACTTCTTATCTTTGATTTTTACCCTTATTTCAGTGGCGGTTCAAGTCATGGTTTCTTTTACTGGCAGACGAGTCGTCAATGGTTAGACAAGCATCCATAGCTTCTCTGATGGACATCACTTCTTCGCTTTCTCCCCATTACATGGTAAAGCTTGCTGAAATTGCCACTTCTGAGGTCATCTCACCGAAGGTACAATCTTTAATCTCGATCAGAAAGTCATGCTTTGGGGACCTGTTAATTGTTTCGATTTTGTTATATATGCTTGTTTTTAATTCACTAGAACTCTCGAACTGTCGTTTCTTCGATAAATCAATTGAAAAGGTAAACCGATTTAGCATTCTTTTGTTGATCGAATATGCTGTGAAAGCTAAAATAAGATTGATTGTCTTCAATTGGTGGACATCCAGTCAAATGATTTCTACTGTGAGTGCCGGACCTGACAGCCATTTCGTCAACTTCTTCCGTTGGTTTGCATTAACAATGACAACAAAGATCGTGCAGCCTTTTCACTGGGCCTGAACTATGAAATTTTTGTTCATGATTTCATTACGATGAAATTGTGCATATTCTAATCTCGTTGCTCCTCCTAAGAACAAATTGTTATCTCATGACCTCTTAGGTTGTCATAGCTTATTGTTTTGCTATGTTCTCTCCCTCTATAATAGTAACAAATTTTATTCTGTCTATCTAGTGAGAGCTTTGTTTTATTCAATATTTTTGGGTTGGTTCTGTGGAATCCTTAAAACTTAGCTTAATTCAAAATGTGTCTTTTGCCACTAATTGTTTTGACATTTTCTATTTTTATTTTGTTGGAACTTGGAAGCATAATTTCTTGCAATTCAGACTTATTCACCGGGATGAACCTTTTACCTACATAATATTGGAATTTCTTCACTGGGTTAATCAAACAATGCCGTGTTTTCCCTCAACTCTCTGTAAGTTGTCCTAATGGTACACTACTCTTGTGGGATCTATTAAAGTCTTGATGTGTTGGTCTATGGCGTCATCATCACCTTATGACAGGAATTTTTAGATTTGTCATCTCCTTTAGATGGTTTATGGTTATATTAATTTGTCGGATACACTGCTGTGTGGGATCTGTTAAAAATCTTGATCTGTTATCATTATCAAATTCCGAGAGGGATTTTAGCTTTGTCATCTCCTTTAGATGGTTATATTAATTTGTCGGATGACCGATGGAACTAACCATTCGTACGTTCACTTATTTGCCACATCAATACTGGCCCCCACTCCCTCTCCCTCTCCCACACATATATCTTTCACATAATTTAAAGTTATGTTGTGTTTTCTGTCTACCCAGTGCTTGGTTTTTTATTTCTGCATCAATGTGTTTATCTGCACCTTTGCATGTGACAGACTTATAATGAAGTTCAGTATTTTTTTCTGACAGTTGGTGTCATGTACCCTGAGGGTTTATTTGTTTTCCTTCTAATTGTGAGTAGTTCCTGACTAGCATTATTTTTGTTTTGTATCATTTAGTGGTCAAGCTTATCTCACCTCCAACCCCACCCCATCACCATAGATATGGGTTCGGGGAAAATTTGGTGTCTGATACTAGCCTTAATACTTCACAATTCTTGTATAATTTAATATTGTTTTCATTGAGTTTTCTGTGTCATGAAATATGTTGGCCTTTGACACCAGAAATGCACAGGTTGAAAGAAGTGACTTTTGGGACACTGTGTTTTCAGCATCTGTTGACAAGGTTTGTTCTCTTTCATTGTCTGACTTCCGCATTATTTCCCAGTGAGGTTGTTGGAAGCTTGGCACAGTAAAATGCCATATTCCATTGGTTGAAGCTGTGATGCTGTTGTTTGAAGAGAGAGTTCTGGGGGTTCGTAAAGCTCTTTCGGAGGTACCGCTGTAGGTTTTGTCACAACATCAGTTCAAGACGACCAATTTTTAGCTACTTTATAATACGTGATTGTGTTTATTCTGGTTGTAGTTTATTATGGTTATGGCTTTGCATTGTTACCTGATTGGTCCTTCACTCCTTCTGGAGGGTTGTTTGTAGAGTATCTTGTATGCCGTTGTGCAATAAAAGATTGAGAGAGGGATGATCTTGAGGGATTTAAGGAATTCTTTACGTCAAGCGGAACTTATTATCCTTACAATACAAGAGACTGGATGTTTACATATGAGTGCTTTTAGTCCAAATGATGGCCACATATTCCTCCCACCCTGTCAAGTCAAACACAACCCCAGTCCTCAGAGAAAAATAAAAGAAATACTGCAAGAGGATATGTGGCACTGACTTTCTATTCTATTGGATCAATATGGGGTGGTCCTTCATTATTGATTTGTATCTCCAATTATGCTCTAGGATCCCTCCACTGTCAAAGTGGGTTGTTTCCGGTCAATTTCAGGTAGTAATGGATACCACCGGTGAATTTCTATGGGTTTGTCAGTTGGACCCAATTAATTTTAAAATGGATGTTCATACTTGACCAAAATTAACAAAAATCGAAATTAACAGGATCTAATTTGTTCAATTATTTTTTGTTGTCATGTGTCATATTTTTCTGCTTAGTGTCATAATTATTGCATATATGTGGTCATTTGTATGTAGTGTAGTTAGCTTAGTCCTTAGTGTGCTCAGGTGAAGGCTGACACAGTCTGTGAGGCAGAGTTACGGGCCGTTTGTGAAAAGGTTTTTTTTTGATACCTATCATCATTCCTGAATTGGGTTTACTTGAATGTTGATCCTATATTTATCACATTTTTTATTTTGCTCGGATACTTCTTTTCTTGTTTATGATGGGCGTACCTTATCATGATTAAAATCATATTTGTGGTCTTTGCAGCATATTGCGTGGCCATTTTTGTTGAAGATGATCATACCATAATAGCCACAGGATTACATTGGTGCGGGTGCCACGTTTAGTTTGACAGTACAACTTTTGACACTTTCTTCTAACATATCTTTGGAGCTTTTGGGGGCCTGCGTAAATATTTTCTTCGGTTTTGATGAGGGGTTGAAATTTCGTGAATGTTAGAATATTGCTGGCATTTCGTTTTAGTGGAGGTAGTGAGTCCTACATTGCAACAATTTTGACATTTGACTATGAGTTAGCCAGCTTTACTGGTTTGCTAATGCATCTTAGAATTATGCAGACATAGATCTTCTCATAGGGACACAA